AATTTTGAAGAAGAGAAGGCTATTGCTTTCTAGATGTTTTATACTAGCTCCTGCCTTGGTGTTAAATATTTTAATTAACGTTATCAGTGTCCGTTGTGCTCAAACCCAGCCTATTTCCAACTGGATTTTGCCTTGTTAGAGATGCTAACATCAAGTTGCTTAAAGATACCAGTAAGATTTTATGACTTATTTCCTTATAGCCTGAGATACAGCCTTTCTGGGTCTGTTCTGCAGAGCTGGGTGAGTAAGGTGGGAAGAATCTCATACAAGATGCCATTTTTGGGTAATGAAGGAATGCAGGAACTAGGCTGAAGGCCTAGTTCTGAACCAGCCGTCATGTGCAGCTTCCAGACAGCAAAGCGAAGAAGAGCTGAGTGGACAGTGAAGTTGTTAGCCAGGCTGAAGTTTGAGGTCGGGGAGGAATCAGGCAGGTAGCTTAATACCAAACCATTGAAAGTCATTGCCAGGGTATGACTTACTTTGACGTCTTTGATAGTTTGGAAATTTGGGGTGATTGATTAGGTAAGAGACACAGCAAGCTAGAAAGTACTGACTCACAGAATCAATTCCTTTACTAAAATGACGTTTCTAACCGTGGGGTAGGATAGGTCTGCTGTATACAGGTACAGTTTAGGTCTGCTGTATACAGGTGCTGTTTATTATGTGCTACACAGAAGCACCTGGCAGAGGTGGCAGGGAGTGACTAAGTGTCAGTCTGTGTTCTAAATCTCTGGAGCATGCACGCAGGGTGCCCAGAGGAAAGTGTGCTTTTTTCTGATTCGTCTGCTCATTCCGATGCTTGGAGTGGGCACACGGAGACTGGTCCATTTATCTTATGTTGTGGACTTAATGTGAAGAACATTCTCTAATCCATTTAAAAAAAAACCAAACAAACCTTAGGATCAAAGTGTAATAACATTTTCTATCCAAAAATTGCATTTAGCAGTAAATGGTCACAACTGGTCGTAGTTCAGTTCCCTTTTATAAAACGAGAATAGGAAAGAAGAAAACTCAAGTATTGGCTGGAAAGCATAGATCCTTTGGTGGAAAAGAAAAATCTTGGACTTTGGTGCTCTTTTTTTCTTCTTAAGTTGAGAAGCGGTATGCATCAGGCCTTAGAAGAATGTCTCTTTAGCCTTCATAGGGTCATCTGCATCCCAACAGTGTAGTGAATCTGGTCCTGTTTGTGACCCTTCTCACTTGGCCAGAGGGTTAGCCATTCTGAGATGTGATCTGAAAGCCCATATCCCTCCCAGGCCTAAGCTGCTCTCTGGTATTTAGATAAATAAACATTTTTATGGAGTGATTTAGCTCAACTTTAGTGTCCTAAATAGTGGAGTTGACATCAGCCGCTCATGCGCTCCCTTCTCTCTGTCTCTCTGTCCTTTCTCTGTTTAAAATGTTCCAAATCACACAGAGGTCTGGAGGTCTGCAGGCCACAGTAGCCTGAAATGTGAATTTTGTGTGGCTCACACAGTGTTGGGATTTGACACACGGTGTTGTTTCTCAGGCAGTTAGACAGGAGCTGTGCTTCTCCATCAGTCACTGTCCTGACCATTCCCTGTCGTCTTGGTAGGCAGTTAAGTCTGCAGTTCTCGCTTTACGTTTGGGATACCCTGTGATCATAGAATTAAAGTAGGAAATTAGAAGGTAGAATAAAAACCTGCCCCTCAGAGTTTTATGGAGAAGCATTTCACATTGAATAAAGAACACTTTTATTTCCAGTTTTAAGAAATGCTTTTGAATATTATCACTTCGTTGCAGTATCATACTCTAAGCACTCTTCATATTTAATTACTATTGGGCTGGGCTGGGCCTTGCAGCAAGATAAATAGAAGGTTGGGAGACAGAATTAGGGAACTGTATCAGGGTTTAGAGCACCAAGGGTCAGTAGTCTCCCAGTCACTTCCAGCCAGAATACACACAAACAGTGAGGTCAAGACAAGTCATAGGTCAGAGCGAGGTAGGCAGACTGGGAAATGGTAGTAGCATCCAGGGCCCATGGGAGCAGGAGAACCCAGAATCTGGGCCTCTAGGACACCAGGAAGTACATGAACATTAAAGAGGTGAGATCAGAATTGGCAGGAAAGGAGGCTGGAGCCAAGCAAGGAGGCTGAGTGTTCCGGGCCCCGGGTCCTGACAAAGGGACTGAAAGGTCCCAGATAAGGAAACAGGCCACTGGGGAGTTAGTACAGGGCACAACATGAGAGGAAGGAGTTTGCCGCAGAGCACCCTCATTTGTTTAAGTTTTTCTTTTTAATTAGTAGACTTCTTTTTAGAGCAGTTTTAGGATTACAGAAAAATTGAGCACATAGTACAGAGATTCTGGGTATGCTCCACCCCTGGCAGTTACTATTTTTAACATCTTGCATATTTGTATGATGTATCAGTGACAGTTGCTGAACAAATAGTAATGCATTACTATTAACTAAAGTCCATAATTTACATCAGAATTCACTCTTTGTATTACACTGTTCAGTGGGGGTTTTTTGGTGGTAAAATATATTTAACATGAACTCTGTCATTCCAACCTTTCTCCAGTTTGGTGGCGTTAAGTACATTCGCCTTGTTGTGCAGCCATGACAACTATCCATCTCTAGCGCTTTTTCATCATCCCATTCTGAAACTATACCCATTAAATGTACTTGTTAAATATCCCCATCCCCACCCCTAACCCCTGGTAACCGGCGTTCTACTTTCTATGTATTTGACTATTCTAGGTACCTCATATGAGTAGAATTATACAATACTTGTCCTTTTTTAACTGGCTTATCTCACTTAGCACAATGTCTTCAAGGTTTATCCATGTTGTGGCAGGTATCAGAATGTCATCCCTTTTTAAGACTGAATAATACTCCATTGCACGTATATATCACATTTTGTTTATCCATTCATCTGTTAGTAAACACTGGGGTTGTTTCCACCTTGTGCCTGTAATACTACTAATGAACATTGATATACCAATATCTATTCAAATCTCTGCTTTCAATTCTTTATACTCAAAGCTGAATCACTGGATCAGATGGTCTGTGGGTTTTTGACAAATGCATAATGTCACATATTCACCAATAACATATCAGAAAGAATAGTTTCACTGCCTTAGAAATCTCATGCTTCAATTATTCATCCCTCCACATCTTTGCCTCTGCTTCAATTCTGGTATGTTCCTTCTGTGCAGATTTAACTACCGCTTACATTCCTCTAATATGGAACTTGCAGGTGAAGATGAGTAGGATCCCTGGTATTGGTAGAGATAGTGAAATCAGTGATCAAGAGAGTCAGAAAGCAAGAAATTCTGGGAAGTTATTTTCAGTCCCTTAGTCTTTCAGACTCTGAAAGTTACTTACACAGTAAGCACAGATGTAACAAATACAAAGCTTTCGAATCATGCACTTCAAATAAATTGTTTTGTGGGGATACAGTTTTATATTTTATCTGTTTATTCCATGCAGATTTATGAAGCATCTCCTATATGTCAGGCCTTTGCTGGATGCTTTCCATGGGAGTTAAAGATTCCGTTCAAGCAAATTAGAGACGGTTTTAGGAGTTTCCACCTTTTGTGCCACCAAGGAACCCATTCACACTTGTTCCCCAGGAACCGTGTTTCCAAAGAGGCCTATTACATAACTACACTTGTGCTCGATTTTTTTTCAGTTCATTGAAAATGGCTTTTGAGCCCTCCATTACAATTGTCAGGGAGCCCGAGTGGTGTAGGCATCTTGATGAGAGAACTAACTAGTCAGTTTTTTGACTCAGAGCGGCTGTCACTGCGCCCCGTGCTGTCATTACAGCTGTGCCGAGGTACTTCATGTGGCTGCTTTCCAGACTCGCGTCCCCGTATTACCATTTCTCTGTCTTCTCCAGTTGCTTGCTGACCTAGGCTTTTCTACTATACTTCCTTTGTGCCAGTGACCATTTACATGTTTAAAAACAAACAAAGAAAAACGTGTACTCGGCTAGAACATGAAGAGAAGAAGGCTCCATCCTTCAGGAGGCTGTGTTTCTTAAAGCAGTGGTCTCCACGTGTCTTTGATTGATGAGTAAATTTTCCCCCATCAGGAGAAGTACACGCCTCCTGACACTCCGTTTACTCATATTTGTACACGTTCTGCATAATGTCAGTGTGTACATTATTGGTGAAACCTACTTTTTTCTCATTTTTTTAGGTGAAAGTTAATTTTAAATGAAAATTCTAAGATTTTGCATCCTACTTTGAAAACCTGGGCTCGGATAGCTAGCGTTAGTAGTTTTTCACTGAGCAGAAGAGCTAACCACTGTGTACAACTGCAGCATGGATTCTGTAGGTGATGCTGAGGGGCCTAGCAGCTCTACACAGACAGGTGGATTTAATTAGGGGAAAGTCCTGGCATCTATTGCAAATCCAGTGTACTACTCAAGTATAAGAACTCCACGTGCATTTGGCACATTCTAAAAAACTGAGTTTTTTTAGATCAGTCAGATATTAGCCATTCATCTCTCACAACCAATATTTTTTTTCAAGTATAGTTGATTTATAGTGTTGTGTTAGTTGCAGGTATACAGCAAAGTGATTCAGTTACACATTTACTTTATATGTATATATTCTTTTTCATATTCTTTTCCATTGTAGCTTGTTACAAGATATTGAATATAGTTCCCTGTGCTGTACAGTAGGACCTTGTTGTTTATCTTATCCCAAAGTCCTAATTTATCTCTACTTCTCTCTTTCCATTTGGTAACCATAAGTTTGTTTTCTGTGTCTTTGAGCCTGTTTCTGTTTTGTAAATAAATTCATTTGTATCATTTTTTAGATTCCACATATAAGTGATATCATATGATATTTGACTTACTTCACTTAGTATGATAATCTCTATGTCCATCCATATTACTACAAATGGCATTACATCATTCTTTTTTATGGCTGAGTAATGTTCCATTGTATAATATAAATACGACATCTTTATCCAGTCACCTGTCAGTGGACACTTAGTTTGCTTCCATGTCTTGGCTACTGTAAATAGTGCTGCTGTGAACATTGGGGTGCATGTATCTTTTCGAATTGTAACAACCAGTATTTTTTTAAACAACTTTTGAGACTCTTACCAGACTCTGACCATTCACTGTACATGATACTGTATAATGATTCCATTTGATGTCTATAGTCCATATTTCCTGCTGTTTTTGCTGGGTGTTTTTTAAGCACTTTAGTCCCCTGTGGCTACACTATCAGAGAAATGTGAGTGGTTATGACTCTTAATACAGAGCCAAATAAAATCTTTAAACAACAATCCACTAAAGGTACTTTACTGGTACATACTTTTAAGTGAATCATTAATAGTATACTCTCTATGTAGTTGCTATTTGGGGTCTGGAGGGGCAGATAGAAGGAGATGAAAAAATAGCCTAAATTGCATTTAGAGTTTCCAGTGTTCCAAAGCCTGGATATAAATGAAAGATGAGCATTTCTACTTAATTTATCTGGCTAGATTCCTGTGCCTAATGGCTGCATATATACCATAAACACTGTGAAGAAGCAACCATGGAAACACTTGTTTTCTTGTTGGGCTAAATTTACTCTGGGTTGAATATTAACACAGTGCCTGGCAGTACTTTAAAAGCAAAAATAGCTTAAGCGTGACTCACTCTGAGTCATTTATTGCTAGTGTGGCTATACTGCCTAGAGCTTGACATTGAACAAGTTGGCAGCCTGTATTGCTACATTTTTTCTAGGAACTCTGAACACATTTCATTCTTGTGAATTTGCTTGTGCAAGATATTAAATAGAGTAATATGTTTATTTTGTTTCAAAGTCAAATGAATTTGAGAATGGTGCAACTAAAGTATTTTTCTTGGGCTTTCTGGAAAAGCCAGATTCTCAGAATTCTCCTGTGGTTAAGGACTTACTTTATTTTATAAAGAATTAATAAAATGTCACAGAGGTTTTGTTTCAGATGCTTGGGCTTTTCTGATTGAAAACATCAGACTGCTCTGAAAATCATTGCAAAAAACAAACCTAAGTCATACTGCCAAGTAGGAGTCATTAATTTTTCTGACATTACCTGACAAGATGGATTGTACCATTCAGAAAGGTTTTTCTTTTCTTTTTCTTTCTTTTTTTTTTGGCGGGGGAAGCTTCTTCCTTTAAAAAAAAAAAATATGGTGAGGCGTGCAGCGTAGCCTGCATTGTAGTTTAGTTGGGTGTATGACTGTAAACTTCTCTCTTGTTATTAAAGATTATATAATGGGAAGTTCATTGGTTTTGAAAGGCAGACCAAACCCACCCCCGGGATTTCTATTGGCCCTTTAAATGTGTTGCGTGCCTTTCCCTGGGTAACCCGTGTGGTTGAGGAAGGAGTGAATAGCTTGTTGGCTGACTGCAGGAAAGCCTCTGAAGGTTCAGTTGATCTCATCTGGGCTGGGGGCAGGAATGGCTGGAAATCGAAAACTATGTATATGAGAATGGTTTTCCCTTGATGTTGCAATCTTTACTTTAACATGTTTTTGTGTTTAGTTGATGGAGTTGCCTAACAGTATAATTTCAATTGAGCCTCAGTTTCAGCTCTTTTATTATAAACTGTGGGGAACAGGATCTTTTTTTTTCCTCCTATTTAAAGGCACTACCATTTTTGCCTTAGGCTTTCAATGATTTGTATAGAAAGGCAGCCTAAAACCAAAATGAGCCTAAGCTAATGCTTGATATTATTTTGAAATTGTTTTACCATAAAATTCTTACATAAGGAGATGTAACCCTGGCAGGGAGTTTCAACATAGTTGCATAAATTGTGTTTCATATTATAACTTGTTCTCTACTTGACTTCATTGAAATTAATAAAAGGACTCTTTCAGGAGGATCTGGTGAGTTAGCATCATTATTGAAAAAAAAAAAGGAAAGGAAAGAACTTACTCATAATGTATCCTGTGTTGCTAAGTTTTCAAAGTTAGCTATCTCAACCACACCCAAAAAGCCCTTTCAGAAGACTGAAATCCATGTATTCATTTATGCTGGCTTAGAATTTTCTTCCCAGTAACATAAAAAGTAAAAGAGCTGAGGTTTATATGAAATTTCCCCAAGATATATGATGATTTCATGAAAAAGTAGCATTTGGAAATTGAGTTGCAGCCAAGCCTTGAATGTAACATGTAGTTCCTTATTCTGTGGTTAAAGAGATCCTTTAAAGCAGGGCTTTCCGGCATGGGTGCTAAAAATATCCCCAAGGTGCTTTTTGTACCCCAAGGGGGGTACCATCCCCCTGTCTGAAATCTAGAGGAGAGAATGCCAGTCCTGCTATAGCCTTCCCTTGCGTCTTGGTCATGTGGTCTCTTTGCTGCTATATTTTGGCCGCATATAAATGAGTTATTTGCATGTTTTGAAAATTAACAAGATTTAGTTAACCAGCCCTTGTTGGGTTGTAAACACAGGGGGCCTAATCTAAATAAGTCTCAGCTTAACCCAGAAGCCACTCTCTTCTTATGCAGTGACATAGATGTGTTTTGTCCATAGAAATACATTAATTAAAACAACGTAAAGACTTCACTCAGGGTCTAGCATAAAGTAGGCACTTAATAAAAGCTCATTAAATCTGAATTTATTTATACAGCAAATATTAAACCTTATTTGATCTACAAAGCTTTGTTCCTTCCCTTTCATTCATCCCTATACTCATTTATGAGCTCTTATTATATGCCAGAAACTGAGATATTTGAGACAAAAAATTAGTAAGCCTTCAAGAAGTACATTCTTAATTTGGAAAGGCAGATGTGCAAGTTATTGAATACATTAGTCATATGCTTTTTTTTTTAAGTCTAGATACAAAGATGTCATTACCTTGCAGGAGTAACTTAAAAAACAAAAAACAAAGACAATTACTGACTTCTCTGAGCACTTCCTGTTTACCCAGCTCTGTTTAAGGTGCTGTGAGTTAGGTGGTGGTATCATCTCCATCTTACAGAGGAGGATATTGAGGCTCATAGAGGTTGAGCAATTTGCCCAACTTCATATTCATGATTCAGACCCAGGAAATCTGGCTGCAGAGTCCATGCCCTTAACCATTACGTAAACTGCCTCTTGTTGACTGGCTTTGGGGAGGAAAAAGAAAGAACTCTAAGAAGTAGGAGAAAACGGGAAGTCAGCCCACCATGATAATGTGCCCTCTTTGGTGAGATGTTAGTGTTTTGTTTTGTTTTGTTTTGTTTTAAATCGGTGGTGATTTGGGAGTACTTTAGCTAAAATCTGTTGCTCAAATGAAGCAGCTTCGTAAGTGGGCTCCACCTGAGGGTGATTTACCACATAGCCAGCATATCTCTTAGGCTATATGTGCTAATCCCTAAAATGAGCTGAGTCTGGGAACCTGGTGTTCTTTCACATTACCTCAGAGACTAAAATCAGCTCTGAAACCAGGGCTGGGTTCTGCCACGCGGAGAGGCTCTGTGGGCCAGTGCCTGGAAACAACACGGCCGACAGGGAAGCCTTCTCCTTCAATGGAAGGCAGTGCTTCTTCTCATCTCATGGCTCCTTTAAGCTCTGTGACAACCTCTTTCTGTCCTTGCAACGCCATTACCCTCAAACCCAACAATTCTTTTTTAGAGGCAACACTCCCAGATGGTTCTTCAGAGCCCTGCAGCTCTTGTTTCTTTCTTGGCCTTGTCCAAGTTCCTGAGAGCTGCAAGAGACGTAGGAGTCAAACCATCAGCTCACCCTGTTCCCATGAGCAGTGGGCGGCCAGCATCCCCCTGCGATGCAGGGTCTGAGGGTACAGCCAGTGAACAAGCTTTTCCAGGAAGGTCCCCGCTAATTCATTTGTTTCATACTGTGCTTTGGGGTACATTTGTTTTTATTTAGTAAGATACTCCCTTTTTATTTCTCAGTACATTTTATAGGGAAGTGGCCTCTTAACATGGGAGCGAATTACACTTATTTGCTGAACAAAGTTGTTTGCAAGGACACTTGAGTTTTTTCACTTCGGGCAGGACAGCTTTTGGCAGCTACAGACAAAATTATCAGACTTTTTGGTGAAGAAGGAAACAGCACAGTTTAACTAGAGAGTGAATGCCTTTCCCAGTACAATAGTAGCATTTTCTTATTTTTCAAGTAATGATTTCCAAAAGATGATTTTTAATTATTCTGCTTTCATCAAAGTGTATCCTCCCATCTCTGAAGTTACCACCCTCTTAGCACCCACATGTGCGACACTTAACAATTCTTTACACTTTTGAGTCAGTGCAACCTTTATATTTATTTGTTTAAAAAAAAGAATGCTTAAAATTTTCTTCAAGAAAAACAGAATCAAGCATTTTGTCTTGAGCTTTTCCCCCCTGCACATATTGGGAGTCCAGATGATGCACTTTGGAAAGAAATGCATTCCTACCCTGAAGGGATTAGGATTTTTGATTAAATATTCTCATGGTCTCATCTTTGTGTGGACTTTCTTTCAAACATGCCCAATCCTGAGGTTTTGTAATAACATTTTATAAATTTTCCAGGAAAGGAAGGTGACTATGCAGTTATCAGATGGTAACTTTTAATCATGGGACATTCGCGTGGGTCTTTTGCAACTGAAGACAGTGCATCCTTTGTAATTGAAGATAGTGCAGTGAGGACGTGGGATGGCCAGGAATAGAGAGTAGAGGTGAACAGCTGCTCTTCTGCTTCATGCTACCTTATACCTGCAGCTGGGATCAGTTCTAATCTCAGCCTTGATGCTTGGGGACCTTGAGATGCTTTGGGAAGCCAGTTTGGGTATTGCAGACCACTCTAGATTAGTGTTTTTGTAGGTTTTCACTTCCTGACTCCTGGAAGAAGGAATACCACTTGTCGGAGAGGGAGTGGGATGACTTAAGAATAAAAGTGTGGTTTAGGAAATGAGGAAGTCGGGTGTGGGTAGAAAAGATGGAGAAGCAGAGGAATAAACAAGAATAGAGGAGAAAATTTAGGGAGGAAAACAATGGAGAAACAACTTTCTCTCTCCCCCTTACCCCTCCCTGTTTGACAATCTGGTTATTTTCGCTTTCTCCCTTAGCTGCTGCTTTTCCCTGCCCCTTCGATGGCACCACCCTCCAGAACTCTCCTCCCTCTCTCTCATCTGTGTGTCCTTCCCAACCCCCTGTCTTCACCCACTGATCCACCTCCATCACTGTGCTTTTAGTGGCTCCATCCCACTTTGTAGAGGGGTCCTCCAGGGAGTGCCACATTCACAGCCATCGTTGGTGCAGCTGATATTCTATGGTCACTCGGGGTCTGTTTCAGAATCAGCCTTTACTACCCAACAAGCTTAATCAACCTTCCAGGCTCCATTCAAGTCAGAATGAACTGCTGTACTCATTCCTGTCTGTCTTCCAATTGGGTTGGACAGTCTCCAAATCTGTGAGACACGAGACAGGAGAGGACTTGCCATGTCCTCGACACTGGGGGTAGAGATCTCCTTAATGGTGTCCGCATGGGTTCTGCAGATAATAGTCAGAAAGTGTGGGGATTGTCCCTGATCCGTGGAAAGGGTGACTGCAGCTCAAAGAGAGCAAGTTACACAGCTGACAAGTGGCTGAGCTGGAATGCCGACCACGTCTTTCCCCTGCAGACCTGGTGCTTTGCTGCCTACTAACGAGTCAGATGTTTATTTACTCTGCTTTCTATTTAGAATTAAGGCAGACTTTTCTTAATTTTTTTTAAATTTCAGACTTTATTATTTAATTTGATATTTTAAATAAAGGAACCTAGTTGGTCATTGAGTCACAACGCAGGACTTCATTTTCTATTGATATCTTTTTTAAAACTATTGCATTAACCTTCAATGTTTAATGATGTCTACACAAATATATTGTGATTAATAGTAAAAGTCAGGAAGCCTTTTACTGGACTAATAAAATGTTTTAGTATTTGCAAATCTGGTTGAGCTTTAATTAGAACTTCTGGGTATTCAAGCCTTTTTAAAATTACTTTTCTAACTATACAAATGTGTACATTGTAAAAAATTATTCAGATAATATAAAAGACAAAAGATAAAAATCACCTGTAGTTCCACCACTCAGAGATAACCACATATTAGTGTCCTCTGTATTTCCATATTCTTTTTTCTTATAAAGTACATACTTGCAAAATTGGGATCAGTTTTACATCTTGATTATTTCACTTATGATAGTGTGAGCACATTAAGTACTTGAAGACACGATTTTAAATTGATATCTAATATTCCATTTATGTACTTATCATGATTTTCCTCTTTGAACTATTACCTTCTACTAATATTCACTCACTGAAGATCTGTCAGTTGCTGACAATTGATACTATCAGTTTAAAAATTTAAAAATTATATCTTATTCTTTGTACTTAGTCTGAAGTATCAAAAAATTACCATTTGTAGGTCATTTTTTGTTTTTATTTATTGTAAAGATTAAATAATAATATGTTTTTCAGGTCGAAGTTGTTTTCTAAAAATTACTTCAAAAGTCTAAACAAGTGATTGGTGTTTTGTTCTGGTAAAAATTTACTCCTTTTGCAAATGTTTTGATGCATTTATTTATTCAATCAGCAGACCTTTATTAAATCCCTTCCAGTACAGGGTGTTAACTGCTGAGAATAAAAAGAAGAAAAGCATGCTTTCTGCCTTCAAGAAGCTTGTAATTCATGCAGGTAACATATATAAACATAATTTTATACTTAATACAAATATAATAGTAATATTATAACAGAAAGAAATAAGTACTAAAGTAAGTTGTAAGCAGTGTGCAAGGAAAAATGGTTAATTCTGACCAGTGGAATAAAGGGAAGACTTCCTGGAAGAGTTGACATTTGAGCTGGGCCTTGAGGCATAGGTCAAATTTCACTTGAGAAGGCAGTAAAGGACATGTGAGGGTGAGGGTGTATGGTATAATCAGAACCACAGGGGCCTGAGGATGAATGTCACACTTGAGGACAACATATGTTTCAGATGGCGTGGTGTGTAATGTGCCAGGGTTGTGGGGGCAGGTGTAATGGAAACAAGGCAGAGGGCAGTAGCAGCAACAAATTTAGAGCAAGAAGGGATTAAACAATTGTTGATGGATGAGTGTGCTCTGAGCTGAGTTCCTTCTCATATGTAGGTAATCTCATTTGATTTACATAATAGTTTTGTGAGCTATTAATATCACCACTTGAAGACGGAAATAAAAGCTCAGAAAACCTAAGTAATTTCCCTTCAAATCACAGAGCCTCAGAAGAAGCAGGACTAAAACTCAAACCTCACCTGGAGGTCATGTTTTTTTCCCCACTACTTACTTAGGTTGAGCTAAGAGCATAGACAGTGATGAAAGTCACGTTCAGTTGTTATATTTTGTAGATAGCCCTTTTTTTCTTTTGGATGAGTGGTATTATCTGACTACTGAAGATGTATCTAGTGGCAGAGTGAAGAATGAGTTGGAAAAAGATAGTACAAGAAGTGAGACAAAATGGAAGACTCCTGCAGAAGTCGAAGCAAGACACAGAGAAGCTGAGCTACTGCAGAGGTGGTGGAAATGCAAGGAAAGAAGTGGAAGAGACTCCGACAGAGGATTTAAGCCCTTTGTAGACTGATGGGTTGAAGGCAGTGAGGAAGCCAAGATTAGAATAGTTGTCTGAACTTTTTAAAAACTACATACTGTTACAATAGGTAAATACTTTTGAGCATGTATCCAGTATGAAAGTTTTAATATTTTAAACCCCTCTCCAATTTTTTTTTTTTTTGTGCATACGCATTTTAGAAATCACTGGAATTAAGAAGAAGAGGTGTTCTGGGAGGGTTGGCAGGAAGAAAGAGTAGAAGCAAATTAAGAGTTTGGTTTTGGACCTAATGGGTTTGAGATGCCTAGAGCAGTGCAGTCATTTGAAGATGTTTCATACAAGGTTGGAAGTGAGTCCCAAGGATAATAGGAGGGAAACGATGCCAGGCTGATGTTCCCAGTGGTTGATTGTTACAGTGTGTTATCATACGATTCTCTACTAAATATTTAGAGTTTTGAAAATGTTATCCTTGGTAGTCTAAATTAAAGAGCGAAGATTCTTAAAATGAATCTTTTGTGAAGTCTAAAACATGAAGTTCTTGTACACTGTAGTTCATTCACCTGTTTAGACTTAGAATATTTAAAGGTGTCAACCCTAAACGTGTCTTCCAAAGAGATTCATCCAAAGATCAGAACATCTTTACAAATGGCTTATGCTTTTCAGTAACTTTCTGAAAACTGTAATTTTCGTTCTTTCTGGCCAGCCCTCTGTTACTGAGTTAATACCTATAAAGCCTAACTCAGAATACTTTCCATTTACTGAGACCCTACAATTATGTGATTAAAGACACAAATGCTGGTTGATGTTTTTGGTTTGGTTCAGTTTGGTTTGATTTTAATTAAGAATACTTCAGCCAACAAAATCTTATATCATTGATACTCAAATCATGTTTCCCTTTGGGGAAGCAGGAATGAGAAACAGCTGTAGTTCCTCTGGATCTCACGAAGTCCAGTTAATTTTCTTCCTTTTGTCCATTGTTTGTTGTGTCATTATCAGTATCCTGGATGAATGTTTATTGAATGCCCAATGAATAGTGGTACTGTTGTAAGCTGATCACAGGCTGGCTTGGAAAAGCACCTTTTCTCTTTTTTTGCTTAATGGATAAAAGGCACAAAGGACTTACCAGACTAGTTCAGGATCACAAAATGAGTCTTTGGTGCATTCGGGCAAAATCGATTCTCAGAACAAGTACCTAAAATTGGAAACCTTTCTCTTGAAGGAAGTGACAAAGCAAAATCGAATCAGTGGGTCTCCCTGATCGCACCCTGTCTCCCTTAGACAGCAGGGGGCAGCGGCCTGAGATGTTAGTGCCCACCAAGCCTTTTGCTGGCTCTTCGCTGAGCTCTGTCCACAGCAGCTACAACTGCCTGGATGGACAGCAAATGTTTGAGACTGTGAGAGAGAAGATTGTGGCCTTAAACAAAATCACAATATAGATTTGTGGTTGATAAAAATTATAGTGTCTGATTTTACATCTAACACATATTATGCTGGTCTCTTGTTTTTAAGTCTTTATTCCAGGGAATTTTTGAGAAAACAAATATTTAGGACTGTTAGTCATCGAGGAAACCTTATAGTCTCAGGATGTTTGTAGTTGTTTTACAGGTAGTAGCAAGAGGAGCCAGTAGACAGGAAGTGCTGTGACACATAAGGAAGAGTCAGTAAACGTGAATGAAGGATTGCTGACATCCCTTCAAGAAATCAGCTTGTTTCCTTGGCTTTTCAGTGAGTTCACAGTCTACTGCTGCCTTGTATTCGGCCAGCATAAAACAGCGCAAGTACTGCAAGAGCAAAGTGATTAAAGCCTCTTAAGCCCTTTGTTCTGGTTCTGTCATTTTAATGTTGATAAGGACTCAGAGACTGGCCTCTTTAAGGTCTTTCTCATTCACTGGAACAATTTTTGTTTCCTTTTGTGTTGCCATAGAACTCCGATCATGCTCATCCTAAAACTTTTGCACCCTGTAGGTCACACCCACTGGTGAATAATGAAATGTCAACAGAAGTCAGTAGTAAAAGGTTATGACCAGCATTTTATTGAAAAAGAGAAGATACTGAGTAGATTAGAAAGTAACATAGTGTGAATTACATATAGGAAGAGTATGATTTCATAAAGCTTTTGTTTCACTTAAACATATGTTTGTATATCCTGGGTTATAACGTAAAATACATTTCTTACTGTAGGTCATGGTTAAAATTTTTTTTGAAGAACACTTCATTGTAGTATGAATCATGTCATCATATAATTACCAGTTCATAAATTTGTCCCTTCTACTAGACTAGGCACCTCTTGAAAGATGGAGTCATGTTTTCTTTGTCTCTTAATTCCTAATACCTGGGACAGATCTACCTGACACACACTAGGTGTTTAGTAAATGTTTGTTGAATGAATGAATGGAATGGAATGAACTTCTCTTAACTTGTCTAAGCCTCATAGTTTTCATAAATTAGAACATTACCTGCCAGATCTCACAGTGTTATTGTGAAGAGCAGTCGAGATAATAATGGATAGGAAAGTGCTTTATCTAAGTACTGTGTACAGAATAAGGATTATTGTCTGGCATAAATTTTGTGATTGTTGTTGGACAAAAAAGCCTCAGGAACTCTTGAAATCTTAAATCAGTGTTCTAAGACATTTATTGCAGTACTATTAATAGTACTGCATTATCCCTTTCTAGGTATCAAGTTAGAAGACAATGTTGAAAAGTTAGGTATGTGCTTTTTTAAAAACCTTTTTATTATGGAACATTTCAACATACAAAGTAGGCACAGTAGAAGATGGACTTCTGTGTACTCAGCTCTACCTTCAAGAAACAGTCAGCAACTCATAGCTAATTTTGTTTCATCTCCATCCTCTGTGACCTCTCCCTTCACATATTACTGGGAAGCAAAGATGCGTTTTTCTCCTCTCCCATCTCCTCTCTCTGCTTCCACCCACCTCTCTCTTTTGTTTACTTTTTCAAGTATGTAGAAATATTCTTAACATTCTTTTAAAATATAATCATTATGTACCAAACAATGTAGGTTAGTAGTTTAGACCAAAGTATTGTTGTTCTGTGTGTGAAGGAGCTATTCTCCCAAAAGAAACTAGCAGGTAAACAAAATATTTTATTTCCCAAGATTTTCATATGATGGTGACCAACTCCATTGCAAAACAATGATCACATTCCAGAGTTGTAAGTACTTCTGGAGGATTTGTTACACAACTGCCAACTCTGTCATCTTCTACAGAAATGTGATCTTACAGAAAAAGTGAAGAGTCTGATGCATGACAGATCACTTTTTAAGATGCTTTTTGAATTTTTTTTCTGTCATGTAATAGTCCTCAAGCTTTTGACCTCTAGCTAGGCAACAAAAAGCATCCAACTGAAACTTCAGAAATATTGTAAAACTATAATAAACTCTGCTTTAAGAGTGTAGCTCAGGGTTGTAACATGCCACTCAGAAGTCAGAATCCACTTAAAAGGATTTCAAAAGCACAATAAATAAGGATCACCTATCTTATTAATTTATATTGATCTTTTTTGATTTTCATCATTTTTTGATTTGGGCCTTAATAAGATAAAAATACAAATAATTTAAAACCCTAAAGATATTTAATTCTTTTAAATGTTATTTATGTAGAATTTTTCTTCCTTAGGTCAAATGGAGAGTTTGTTTTGATTTTTAACGAGGCATTGCTAAGTTTTGCCCACTGCAATAATTGAATAGTCAGTAACTGTGCATGTCTCAGTTGTTTTGAGGCTTTTATGTGTTGTTGAAAATTTTTTTCCAAAATAAAAAGAATATAAATGTACTTTTATTTTAAAATATTTCAAGCCATATTTGTACCAAAGTAAGGAGGTTGCCCTGTATGCAAGTGCAGAGGATTGTGGGCTGGGGATGACAGAGAAATGGAGGGAGTGAAACTCACATGGTAAGAACGTCATGACTCCAGAAATGTTGCAGATTGCAGATCTAGGTCAGTTTCTGTCAGGGACATCACCATGCCACCAGTCTTCCCTGCTGAAAACCTAGAAGAAATCTTTATCTTTTCCTCTCTCATTCTCTACACCCAACAAATAGATCTTTTTTGATTATTTGTTTAGAAAAATCTCTTGGCTTTATCTTTTTCGTTCCCATGACCAGGGCATCAGTTCTGATCTTTATCAACATATACATCTGGACAGTAATAGCAGTTGAGAAGAAATGAACTAAGGCATTTTGATCATGCCATTGTATGTACAGTTAATTCTTAAAACAGTCCTGAGCATTAGGACAGTCTTTTCATTTTTCAGATTATGTAAAGTGGGCAAGCTCTTTCAAGTAGGTTGGATTGCTAAGGAATCTCCTTACTCTGAGTCCTTCTTCCTCTGTAATGCATTCTATAAAAGCATACCAAGATAATCTCCCTAAAATGTAACTGTATGTAATACAATAACTACTCAATAAAACTCTGATCCAGCACTTTACAAAATTACCAGAGATTTTTCACATTTGATCTTATTCTGCACAAACTGCTTCATGAGGTTAATATCTCATGTTATTACTTCATAAAGTAACCTGTGATGACTTCTATTTCCCATCAAGCCAATTATAAACTTCTAATATTGATGACATTCCACGTTTTATGCTCTGGCTTTATGTCCGGTTACTCCTCTCTCTCAGTGTAAACTGGAGTTCACTTTAGCCATGGGAATGAACTTCCTTATGGTCCTCTCTGGGTACCATTCTCATTTCTTCCCTAATGTCTGCTCACAGCCAGCTCTTGTTCACCAAACCCACATCCCCACACTTCTGTCCTCCAGCTTAAACTCTACCAGTCTTTCAGGGCTCATTTCAAATCCTACCTTTTCAAAGAAGCCTCTCCCAATAATTTCTGTCTTCCTAGCTATTTTTGGTTCTTGGATTCCATTGTCAGATATGTTTGCCTTTAAATACAATTTAAAAAATTCCCCTCAGCAATAAAAGTAATATATGCTTTGTGTGAAAATATTATATAGGATATTAGAAAGTCAAGAGATAACTCCTGGCTTCCCAGTCTGGAGAAGTAACCACTGTTGTTTGTCTTTATGGTTGTATTTCTGCATATAAACAAGAATATGCACAGACACATGTATACACACACACACCTATTTACACACATAGAGATAGCTATAGATATATTTTACACACATACACTGTCCTGCAGTTTTCTTTTTCCCCTGGACGATGTATCTTAAAAATCTTTCCCTGTTAGTAAATGTAAGTGATTTCATTTAAACGTATCTCTTTATTGCCTCAAATTGTTTCATGTCAGATTGTTTTCTGCATATGCTTCTTATCCTCCTTCACAAAAAGGCAAGGAAAACTCCTCAAGGCAAGAGTCATCACATATTCATTCTCTTTTCCATTCCTTTACTCCTCACTTTGCGCATTTACTGCACAAAGAAAAATTTCAGTATTTGTGCTGTGGGAAATCGAAGCTATTTATTTCTCATAACCCCGAAGAAGTTAGGATCTAGTAGGTAAGAATCTCCATTTATACATATAACTGCAACACAGGAAGAAATTGAGAAGTGACACAAATATTTGTTAATGGAAATATAGCTAATTAAGTTATTCGAACAATTCTCCTACTGAAAATGATCAAAACTGTTGAATATGTATGAGAAAACATCCTCAAAGCAGCAAAGGCCTGAAAATCTAAGGAAATCTAAGGAAAAGCGAGAGTTTAGGGAAGGTTAGAGAACTGAAGCTGCTTTTGCCCAGAGGACGTTTGCTGATCCAGGCGAATTCAGACTTTGCCTGCCTCATGGGTGGTAAGACTACACAGAAAGCTAGGAAATAACTAACACAAAATTTAGCATAATGATTTTTTGAGGGGAAGGGAGTTTCTGGAGTACTCAGAATTCTCTTTTTATTGACTTGATGGGAGCTGTATATGGTAATTTATTTTCTAACCTGAGCATGTTTATTTTATATGCTTTTCCATATACATGTCATAAAATTCATAACAAAGAATTTTAAAAAAAGTTATAAAACAATATATATGGTCTCACACATGTGTGCATCCTACATAAATGTATACGTGCATGTGTGTATTACATAAATGGAATGTGTAATAGTATAAATCTCACATTGATATAATAAATAGAAATTTATGTTTATTTATAAGAATATATGTGTTTTGGTGATGGAGAAGTGTGTGTGTGTGTTTCATATACGTAGAAAAAGATGTGGAAAGAGTGTTCACCAAGTGCTGAGGACAACCCTGAGAGGTAGAACAGAGATGGGGAAGGAGCAAGAAAGGAGCTTATTACACTTTGTGCTTCAAACCACTGTTGTTAATTTTTAAAAATAATTATCATTATTACTTAGTATTTAAAAATAGATTTTTAAAAATGAAAAAAATTTTAAAAATAGAAAAAAAGGCTTTTGTCTCTGCCCTTAGATATGAAAGTACTCCCTCTGCCAGGCTCCATATCACTTGGCATAGTACCTTTTTTTTTTTTTTAAATGTCTTTTTCCTTTGCTAGACTGTAAGCTCTTCAAGGGGACAAGACAATTTTTGTCTTTATATTTCTTGTACCTGGTTAATCCTGGCACATAGGAGTGGATCTCTAAATACTAGTGGAAAATGCATGAATAAACGTACCTTAAGAAGAACCTAGGATTGCAGACATCCAGTGGGTGTAACATTTCCTTACAGGCTCTTGTTATACTTTTTGAATATTCTTTTGTATCTGGCACAGCAGTGGGCGTAAAGTTGGCACAGTGAATACAGGTTGATTTGAATTTAACTGACACTTTGTGGAACCTGTAGGCAATGTGGAGTCCACCACGTGGTGCCCCTCTTGATCCCAGAAAGCAGGAAAATGAAACACTGTCTGAAAATTAAAACTAAAAAACGAACACCTAATAGAATTAAAGCCAAGAGAGACAATGTGATCTTATGAGACATCAAGACCCCTTGGGCAGAAAGATTTGCCTGTAACTTAATTGGGAGGTTACTGACATCTTAAAAACACACAAACGTAGAAAATCTCTGTCAGAAGAGCATTTTCTCTGTCTCCAAAACAGAGAAAAAGAAAAGCTATGAATGTAATTGTCATGATACCTAACAAAGCACTGTCTGACCAGTAGCACCTGCCAGGTTGAGGCAAGCAGGCAGCCTGCCTGGCAGGTGGATAGCCCAGTGGTAAGAGAGCTGCAGAGCCTCACGCCATTTTGCACTGGAATCCTGCGTAATTAACTCCACTTGCTCTACTTCTGTGCGCACCAAACTTCCCCTCTGGTAATTCGCCTTCCCGAGGAGATAATTCACTATCAGGCTGGTACAGACTGATGCAGAGATTCAGTATGCCTGATTCTTCTGTTGTTCACTGTAAATAATAAAGTCACCTTCTTGTTTTTTTATACATCAGTGTCTTGTGAGTTTTGTTAGCATGAGTCCGCATTCCTGGGTCCAGTCAATGAGATCGGGTATCAGAGTCTGCAAAGCTCATCAAGGTAAATACTACCTTGTGGGCATCTGTTGGAGCGGACTGCTGGATTTCCCAGGTGATGCCCATCCGTGTCGTCTTGCTCCATGTTTCCTTTCCATTCCATACCTCACCAGACAAATTCTTCCCAGAAGTAGTATGTTAAGAACGTCTTAATAATGTGCATATTTCAGTTAGAGAGTACCAAATAATATTATGTCAGTGATAGTAGACCCTTGTCCTGTGGGTGAGTATTAATTTGTTTGGTTTTGTAAATTTCACACCTGTATGGATGAATGGAATGTATATTGTAGACACCCCATCATGAGGACCTCCAACAGCTCATTTCCAGTTCTGGCTTCAGCCTCTTCTGGCTTCACTTCTGGCGCTCATCTCATTGTCAACATTGATGCTGGCGTCATGCTCAAGTCACTTCCTAACCTGGGTCTCTCTTGCAGCAGTGAAACCTAAAGAAGATGGAGGACACAATGAGGTCGACAAACTTAAGGATAAGGATGCAAGTAGAGCAGGCAATGAACGAGGTTATAGAATTTTTTTCTTCCATTCTCATCTTTCTCTCTTTCCTCAAAACAGTAGCATTTGAGAGGGTTTCAAAATCCCACACGCTGCTATGGCAAAAATAAAGCACAGGTTCTCACCTCAGTGACATGTTCCACTTATCTGCGAATATAACAGAATGTAAACCTGATTTTGATAAATCATTAACAACAATTTCTTGCCCAAAAGGATATCACAGTAGATAACAGGGCAAAACTCATTACAACTCTGAAGTGAATCCTGGATTTTTTTTTTTAAGTTGATTCTTTCATCAAATAAGTACATTATTAGATGGGACTTTATTAAACATCAACTTTCCTCCTTTCTCTACCATTCCTCCCCTTTCATTCCAACTTCTAGCCAGAATAACTGATCACTAAATTTTACCATAAATTTATCAGAAACATACCTAGAGCAACCCTTAGTTATCAATTTGCTTTAAAATAATTTATCTTTTTTCAGTAGATTAGGACCTCACAAAGTTTTCAGATAGGGTAGGTAAATATAGAATCTTGGAAAGACTTACTTTTTACAAACTTGGTTCTTAAAAACTACTGTTTTGACAGTCACAGTTTTGTTCATTTTTGTACAGTTGGAGTTCTGCCGCAAAATAAGACACTGTTGATTGTTGGTATTTATGACAAATCCATGAGACTCCCACCATCCCTGTATATCACTCAGAGATCTTCTTGTACACTGATGAGGTTAAATGGTATGGGGACGGATTGCTGTATAGGTTTGGGGGCCATTCCTGATTATTTAGATGCTGATTAACTAGCCAATGAATTCTTCAGGCCTTTTGACCAAATTCACCATCCTCTGACTTTCATTTTCTTTGGATGAAAGATGTTGTCAGTGAGGAAAAGTTCCATTTTTCATCCCCACGTGAGCAAGGTTAGTTTCACAGCCAGAGACTTCTCACATGTGAGATCAGCAGCTACACTGTGGGCTCTGCAGTAGTGGAAGTTAGGCTCAGTGGCATCAAAACACTCAAGGTCAAGCCTATCACCACCTCTGAAGTACTTGTCCCGCTTTAGTGGGTTAGTAACAGCATCTTAGGATACAAAAGTTAGCATTTTCTAAAGCAAACCAGTCAGTATAGTATGTTATGTGCTGATATAAGGAAATACCCCCCCAAAAAGAAAGATCATATTCCCTAGCGTCATTAAATGTTTAATTAATGGGGAGAGGATGAACATGGTCAACATTTATTAAGAAAAAATCTACAACTCTCAAAACTGCCTATATTTTTCAGAACTTACGTGTATTTCCTTGTTTTTTACCAAAGTACATGCTATCTTGTCAAGATTCTTATAAATAGGGAGGTATATAGACTATCCCCTAAATGCAGACGCAGGACTAGAGTAAGCCAGAGAAAGATGGTCACCTGAAAAGTAATGAGCATTTGGCCCACTCTTCTCCCTGCCCCTCCTTTCTCATAAGCCCAGGCTGCTGCCTTCTTTTTTCTTTCTCCTTTCCTTCTGTTGAAGGTCAATGTCTAGACAGGGATTTATTGGACAGAACTGAAAAGACAACTAGATTGGGTGGGGGAAGAACTACCCTGAAGCTGGGCAGCATTATGGCAAGCTGAAGATCGCAGTTTTCAGAATTACACAGATGTCTTCAGTCTGGGACATCGTTTGTAACGAAGCCCTAACCTCTCACACGCTGACTGCGTGAGGCATAAGGCCCCTGTGTAAAGTGGCTTTTCTCTCTCTGTTCTACCTTTCTAAATTCTTTTTCTAGCATCTTCTGATTTCCTGCATTCCTCCTGCAGCTCTCTAACTTCTCTGATTCTTGTCCCTTTGCAGTAAAAGTTTACCCTAAGGCTTAATTTCCTAAAGTCAGTCTCTGTATATTTGTGTGTCTGTGTGCTATGTGTATGTATCTACATTTTGTTTTCCTTTGTTTGTAATAATACGCTTTAGAATATTCTTTTCTAACCAAATAAACTCCAACCACAATATTGAAGTTTTTTGGCATATTGACTCTTTAGGCAGTGTGAAAATTACAAGCAAAAAATGAATATACACATAAAATGTTGGTATAATTTCATGGTGTTCATGTACTCTTAGTACCAGTTTCTGGATCCCAGCTGGTGTCAGAATCCCTGCCTCATTACATTAAGTTCTTGCAGCCAAAGTCCAGCTGTACTAATAGGACTCACGAACGTTTTTCAGGTGCTTCTTGCAAGCTGAAGAGTGCGCTGACGCTTTACACGCATGATCTCATGTAGTTCTCACAATAGTCATCTGAAGTCGGTGCAGATAGTGTTTTGCTTATTTTGCAGGTAAGGATGCAAAGGCACAGGAAAGTCTTAGTCGCTTGCCCTAAGGCACCCAGCTGATAATTGGCAGAACCAGCTCTCCAACCCAGTCTAGCCAGAGTCCACTTTCCTAACATTATGTCGTACCAAACATGTCTCTTAATTTTTGGGCTTCTAAAAGTTCTCCCAAAATAACAGGTTCAGGGAGGGGAATGAATTTAACTTAATCTGTCTGAAGAATAAATTTGGATAATAGCTTCCCAACTCACAGCTGAAAACCCATTGGGAGTTTGTGAGAAATACTTTTCTAACCTACATCCAGTCTTGCTGAAATGTCTTTGTGAGGAGTGTTTAGAACTGAAGTTTTATTCATTTGCCAAAATGACTTCCAGAAAAGTCACTTTGAAGAATTTTTGGGTAAAATATTTTCATGTTTACTCCAAAACAAATTAGTGGACTTTGAATGTCACTCATTTCCTCAATATGTATTTGCAAGGATGGTTATTCTGCATTTGTGACTATGAAAGCGGAGCAGTTTGATCAGCATTGCCCACGTCGAAGTCTATTTCCCACACCACTTAGATTAGAAGGCAAACGTTTTCAGCGAGCAAGAATACTTAGTGTTTATGTTGATCAAAGATTTTAAGCAAAAATTTTTTTCCTCAACATCAACAAAACTCAGTTAAAAAATGGGCAGAGAACCTGAATAGACATTTTTCCAAAGAAGACATACAGATGGCCAGCAGGCACATGAAAAGATGCTCATCACTAACCATCAGAGAAATGCAAATACAAATCAAAGCCACAATGAGACATCACCTCACACCTGTCAGAATGGCTGTTACCAAAAAGGCAACAAACACCAAATGTTGGTGAGGCTGTTCAGGAAAGGGAAGCCTGTGCATTCTTGGTGGGAATGTAAACTGGTGCAACTACTATGGAAAACAGTGTAGAGAGTCCTCATAAAATTAAAAATAAATCTACTGCAAAGTCCAGCAATTTCATTTCTGGGTGTTTTTCTGAAGAAAACAAAGACAGTAATTCAAAAAAATATATATAGCCCCATGTTCATTGCAGCATTATTTATAATAGCCAAGTATGGAAGCAACCTGAGTGTCCATTGGTAGATGAATGCATAAAGAAATTATATATATATAATATATATACACACACACACACACTACACACACTATGTACATATAATATATATAATGGAGTGGTAATCAGCCATAAAAAGAATGAAATTTTGCCATTTGCAACAACATGGATGGACCAAGTGAAATAAATCAGAGAAAGATAAATATCATATGATTTCACTAATATGTAGAATCTAAAAAAGAAAACAAATGAACAAACATAACAAAACAGAAACAGACTCATTAGACACAGAGAACAAACAGGTGGTTGCTGGAGGGTTGGGATGTGGGGGGATGAGTGAAGTAGGTGAAGGAGATTAAAAGATACAAACTTCCAGTTACCAAAGAAATGAGTCACGGGGATGAAATGTACGGCATAGGAAATAGAGTCAATAATATTGTAATAACTTTGTATGGTGACAGATGGTAACTAGACTCACCATGGTGATCCTTTTGTAATGTGTAGAAATATTGAATCACTGTGTTATGCATCTGGAACTAACATAGTATTGTAGGGCAGTTTTACTTCAATTAAAATTTTTTTCCCAAAATATGCCATTGTTTTAATATTTTATGTTTGGGATTTTAAAAAAATTTTAAACATTAAAGGCAGGATTGAGATTTTTAAGTTTACTTAAAGGTGGCATGGACTAAAACACTGAGAAACCCTACTTTATATGTATGCTTATTGATAAGGAAATGTAAAGACGCTCACCACGTAGTTTTCAAAAACAGCGTCACTTCTACATCCTCCCAGATTTTTCTGGCCCTCTTACTTTTATGTTAACTAATCTGAGATGCTGTTGGAATCTCATGATACTATTGAATTTCTGTTTATCCTTCTCTTTTTAAAAATAAGTGTAGTATATCTCTGTTGACAGGTAATTGTTGAAATGTTTACAAAAAAGTCCATTTCCTTATTGTAAGTGAACATTTATTAATTAAAAATAACCCACTTATATACTTGTGTCGCTTTT